TACTTAAGACGATCTTAAATATAACGGGCTTTCTACACATAAGCTATTCATATATCATAAATTAGAAGTTAAAAATTAATGACTGTGATTGATTAATTTTTAGCTTCTGACTTCTGATTTATGACTAATGGCTTATTATAGAAGGCTCATTAGAATCGATTATGAATATTGGCCTATGATTGGCTTATGACATCTTAAGATTGTACTAAGATAGTTCTTAAATATAAGAACAAATTATGAACTCCAGACTGTGATTTTATTTCAGTTCTATTTTGACATCGGCCAAAAGCGGAGAGATATGCTTGTGGACTGAGGGAAAAGGAGAGCTATTGATAAAAACCGAACAAAACTTGAACAGAATGTGCCACTCGCGTGAGCATACCAACTTGATAGCAACGGGGGGAGAGGAAAATAATAATTTAAGAGTGTTCGATCTAGAGATACAAAAACCGATATTCACTGCAAAGGATCTTCCACACGATTGGCTATGCTTACGCAGAAGTATTCCAATATCAGACATAAGTTTCTTGCCAGGAAGCCTAATAGTCACAGTCGGTAAATATGGAAATGTAAGGAAGGCAATTTTGTTTTTTTCTTTGTAAAATTAGTCTCATGCATTATTTATGGTCGTGAAAGTACAATCATTATTAACATATGTAATTTCATAAAGATACATCTGTATGATCTACGTCGCCAAAGACGTCCTACAATTGATATGACGGTAAAAGATGAAGCTTGGACCTGCTTGGATATCACGTCGAAAGAAAAGTAAGATTTGTACAAGTAAATAAAACTATTGTTACTTTAAAGCATTATTTAAAATAAGTATACAAAAATCTATCACAATATTTCATCATATTGTTAAAGACACATCATAGTGGGCTCAACTAAAGGCAAGCTGAATCTTGTCGATCTAAGACAGTCGGGCACCGTGCTAAACACATACAAAGGATTTATCGGTGGTATAACCGGAGTGGCTTGTAGTAAAACCAATCCGTACGTCGCCAGCGTCAGCCTCGACAGATATCTGCGGATACACCATATCCATACAAAAGAATTTCTCAAATCCGTAAGTATTTGGGTTTTAATTTCTTAAAATACTACGGCGTTCAAAGCAAATGTTTGATTTGTATTACATTTTACATTGCAGATTTATTTAACATCGAAATTATCGTCTTTAGTAATGAAATCGGATATCTGTATAGAAATAGGATACGAAGATGGTACAGAAAATTAACCCTCAACTACAGTAATAAGTCATTTAAATCCGAAGCAAGCAGTTTTGAATGTTTGTACAATCTGTACAAACGATTGATACTATTAATACAATTGGTATTCTAAATTGTAAAAAAGCTTTTTGAATCTTCCTTTGTTAATCGCTATAAAGCGAATTCACTTGTTTACTTAAATAGGATGCTTCAGAATTTACAAAGAAATCCAGCGGTGTCTTCCTCTGATTTTGATGAACTTGAATATGTTGTGTTCTGGAAAAAATAAGGAATACGTATTTTTTTTTAAACAGCCCATTCGCACTTTTACGAGATACACTCTTTGAAGAAAATCAGTTATTATTTTTTTAAAGAAATATCGTCGAAAGAGATAGAAAGAAATGTTTGAAATAAAATGGTTTTAAGAGTACTTAAAAATTACAATTTAAAAAAAATTTTTTATTTATTTAAATTTTTTAAAACTATTTTTATGAAGTATGTTTCAAACAACTTTTTCTATCATTTATTTCTATCTAAAGTTTTGATAATATTTGCTTTAAAAGAAAACTTTTCAAAAGAGCGTTGCGCTCCCTAAACGTGCGATTGTTCCCTTATAAAGAGATACGTATCCTTTATTTTTGTCTAAAAAAGAATTGTTTGTTAGATGTATATACAATTTTCGCTGTAGTTAGGATTAAGATATTTGTTAACTCAAATATCATAAATAAAAAATATTGAATAAAGTGCAGTTTTTATATGAAAAAAAATATTTTAGTCTCTTTTAAAAACGTATATTGCAAAAGTTTCTTTTAATTCCCCTCTTTTCACGTTTCTTCAATATTATCAATCATGTAATTTATTATTTAACAGCGTATTCGATCACAGCTGGTGTGCATCAACCTAGGTTGGATTAATGACGTTGTATGCCCTCTTATTGGTGGAATATGTAATATCAACCAGTAGTAGAACATTATCCAATCCAAATCGATACAAATCTGCTCGGGTTGAAAACGCTATAACATTCATCACTTCTGGCTATATAGGCTGTTTATTGTTTTCAACAAAATCATATAAGAGTTGTAGAAAACTATGGCATTAAGCATTCAAAAGTCTAAAAGACATATAAAGAAAGCCAAGAGTATACTTATTATCTTAATAAAAATGTTTCTACGCAGAATCTATTAAAATATTTCTGAAATTTTTAAAAATAAAAAATTTTTATATGTAAAATCTAACATTAAATGATGGACAGATAGTATTATTCAGACTCATTAAAAAATATGATATCTACTCTAAATAACGAAGAAATTTAGGCAATTATTAAATAAAACATTTCTATCACAGTATATATATTTTTTACTCGGCAAGCTGTTCTCTCATTTTAAATATCGAAAAAGGGACAACAAAGGTTGATCAGGGAGTAGGGATAGTACGCTAACGCCGCTTTGTTATGACTATGCGTAATGCACAAGCTTTTATATTATTTATTGTACAGTTTATTTATATTTTAATACCGCATCTCGATAGAGCTTGTATTTTGGTTCTTTGATGCAGCGCGCACAGAATTCAATCGCTCATTTCCCTCTCGATTCTCGTTCCTTTAATATTATGTAGAATGAAGAGAAGCTAAATATATTCTTCGACAATTTCTACTGTGCTTTCAACAAGTAACAAGTTATGTCGAAGCCAAGTGCGCGGTACACGCTGCGGTAATGTTACAGCGTAATCTTTAGTATCTTTAAGTAGAAGAAGGTGAACGTGGCAACTCGCAATGATTGCAACGTATTTTGTACTAAAAAAAAAAAAAGAAAGACACGCGCTCGCGCGCCTATAGCACATTAAATAGTACTTTTCAGCTGTACAAAAATTTTCGTTCACACTACGCGTCCTGTTAATTAATACTAATATTTAGCTTTGTCTTATCCCGACTGCACTTACATCTCGGATAGTATATATGTATATTTATATACGTGTATTCCAATGAACGTGTTTCTAGGAATACATTCGCTACATTTACAGGCACTATTCCCTTCAAAATCGAGTAACTACCGTCACCTGCATTTCTATATGAGGAAAAAGAGATTAAGATCTGCGTCAAACGCGTTAAATTTAAATTCCAACTGAAAGACAATTTATAAACTCTAAAACTTTTCTTGAACTTATCTTCAACAACTTGATTATGCAGAACTGCTTTACAAAGGAATGTTTCTCTCGATCCATTAAAGAATTTATAGTGCAAAATAATACTATACAAATTTCTTTAAAACTTCGTCGTTATTATAATTTGCATTTTTCTCACGATACGACGCGTGTAAGTAGTAATTACAATTGAATTTATATAATGATATAAAGGCTTTTTTTGCTTGCTATATTCAGAGAATTCGATATACTTGCCAATGAGAGCAAAATTAATCATGAATAAAGCAATTAATAGATTGAAGAATGTATTTTTGTTCGTAAGTCATAAGTCAATATTCTTAATTAAGACGATTCACGATATAATTATAATATAAAATCTTATTTCGGTGGTTTGTTATATCAGTCCGCGTATCGTCAGCAATGATTATACAATATATAGAATTTGGTCAAATATCACATTAAAACTCGAGTATTTTTATCCGATTTATCGAATAACTTTAATAATCGAGTATATCACGTCGATTCTTTCAATTTATAACGGACATAAGTGTACAAGAATTTTATGTGAATTAGTTCATACATATTGATATCTATTTTTTTCGTAAATATTCAAGAAAAACTATATAGTCATATCATAATAAAAAATTATTTTAGTGGATAATTTTAGTTCGAGAATATAATCTTGCCTTATTGTTTCAATAGAGTTCTGTGAATCTTATCTTTTTTTTTTTTAGTATAAAAGCCAAAAACGTCGCAACTTTTGTACAGAGCTTTACTCCTCGACATTTACGTGACTCTGACAATACAGTGAAAATGAAATATCAAAATGAGGACAAGAAAGAGACAATCTTTTAGATGTATAGATATAATCCGAAATAATTAAATAAAAATGTATCTTGCTTTAACAATACGTATTAACAATATATAGTTTGATATTCTCGATGATATCACTTCTACATAATCAATGAAAATTGTCTGAAACCTTAAAAGAACCTATTCACGTATAGAGCGGTGTTAAAATGGATCTACTTATTATGCAAAATCAGTAATTAAGATTAGGTATCTCTAAATCTTTCCAGTAGAAGTAAAAGAAAAAAAAAATGATTTTTATAAATGAGTATGTAAGATATCAAAAACATTAGATCGATAATATACAATGCGTTCAGAAAAAAATGTAAAAGATCTCGTGCGTACAACGAGGACAGACATTCGTTTTTGTCGATCGCGAAATACTCTTCGATAATTATTTTTTTTTAATTGTCACATATCCTAATTATACACAAGATCAAAAGGAAAATATCTACGTTATTCCATTTCACAAAGGGTGAATACAATTTGCATAAAGAATATATAATCATGATTAAGTTGCGATTTTACACATTTTTCAACAAGACAAATGACAGTGTAACAGTGAATTATTTCATCTTTATTTAACATTGGCAAACAACAAAGTTGCAACGATAATTCACTGGTGTCAACTGTGTTTCTTGTTGGAAAATGCCCCTTTCTCTCCAAGATTTTGTCATATCTCCAAAAAAAGTTCGTTCCTTCAAAATTCGTCATTTCTTTCCCGATCATGCTCGATTGTAGAAGGGCGCGGAGAATCGCATTCTGAGCAAATAATGGCGCAGCTACCTACTGTCCTTGGCGAAAAGCTCGAACGTCTAATGTGTAGCGTGTCTGTGTAGCATTTGTACCATAAAAAATTAAGCTTAAGTGATTTTTTTATACACTATACAGAGCATCGTGTTTGTTATATCATAACGTCACGTTCAGCGAACTTCTCTCTGTTGTTCTAACGCGCCACATCCAATTTCTCTCAAACGGGACATCCTACCTCTCCTCTCGTACGGCGCGTATCACCGATTAATTTGCGTACTCGCGGAGAACCACGAGCGATAACAACAAAGGATGTACAAATATGCAGTCGTTATGTTATTCGTCCGCCGCCGCGGTTAAAAGCAGCGGTTAATTCAGTTCGGAGTCTGCATCCGTGCATGGCGGCACGTGAAAACGGCGACGTCTCATTCCCCACCCGATACGCCTGAGACACAAATGTTTATCACGTCCCGCCACGTCGCTTCTTGAGTTTGATTCACTAGTGTCGACTGAGGTTCCGAAATGTCCGACGCGACTGGGCTCAGTGGTGGACTAGGTGTCGCCGGCGCTTCCTCGGACTGATTGCGATCAATCGTCTCCGCGACATCTTGCTCAGCTTCACCGTCAGCGAGCGACGCTTCCGACTGCGCGGAGCTGGGAGCCTTCGACAGCAGAGAATCTTGCGCTCGCAACGATATAGAACTACCTTTATTGCTACTGCCATCCTCTCCTAAAGTCAATAGAGAATTAGTATGATAAGAGTCGCTCAACAAAAAGTGCGCATTTACTGAGAAATTGAAACATACGCCGTACTTTACTAAATCAAAATTGAAGCATTCGATTTTATTATAAGAATAATATTACACGTTTTACAAAGAAAAATAATATAAGTTACATAAAAAGATAGAAAATAAACTTCTTAATATGACGTACTTCAAAAGTTAATTATAAATAAACCAAAGATAATTATTGATCAAGAATGTTAAAGTGTTACTCACCACAAGGCCTAAGAACGAGGTAGAAGAGCAGATCGGAGAGAGATATTATACCGATCACTTTATCGTCATCATCGATCACTACTAGCCTATGTACCTAAAAATATACAAGACAAAAATGTATTATATCAATAGTAGTATAGACTAGATGATTATGCGCAATTTAAAAAAGAAAAACGTTCCCTTACTTCTGCTCTGACGATCCTTTCCATTATAGTAAACAATGTCTCATCTAATTTGCAACTCTGAACACCTTCGAACCATTCATTGCGGTGCTCATTTGCTTCGCGTAGCGAAACGTCTAGATTGTTGTATGTCTTTTCCGCTGCTAAGTTCTAAAAAAAGCGATATATTTAAACGTCAGCACTTGCATAACATACATTACAATACAAACTTGCAGATGTTTTTTTCAAATGTGACTTACAATGACATCAAACTTTGAGTAGATGTTCACTAACTTCCCCTCGGAATCGACAATCGGCAATGCTGAAACTCTCCTTTCCACAAATTTTTTCAGCGCTAAAATTATGCTAGTTTCCTCCGTAGCCGTTTCTATGTTCTCGAAAGTACCTATCCTTAATTCTCTCAGCGTTTTGTTGGTGAAGGATGGTTTCGGTAACTCATGGATCTGTCAATTACAACGAATTAAAACAAATTCGCGCTAATAGAGTGTCATTTGCTTGGAAGGAGAGATACACATACTTACATATAGGAAAAGAAATCTAAGTATTCGCTTATGCGTCAAGATATAAAGGACGTTTCCGGTATCGAGATCTATCACAGGCAATCGGTGGATTCTGTTTTGTATTAAGGTCCTGATAGCCTCGTACAGTGAGGCGTCCGGCCCGATGCTTACAAGAGGATGGACTTGATCCTTCAAGACCTCTGGAAATCAATAATTTCCTGGATATAATACCTCGGTATCGCAAACATATCTGTCGCTTCGAATATCTGACAGGATATACTATAGTTTAATAATTCTATTCGCGATACGATGAGCCAGGTTCCATATTCAAAGAAACATAGTAATAGTAACTACAAAGATAACAACTACAAGTTCTTGTAGAATTAATGCACATAGAGTGCATTCCACTTGACGCTTACAAGCATCATTTGTCCTTGTTAAATGAACTTGTTTGATGAACAACAAGGATTAAATGATTCCATGAACGTCGCGAGCGCAGTCTTAATTGAATCGTAATGTGATAAACTAATGTACACATAGTTGATCAAATTATTTTACAGTTACAATAACTATAAAATAATATGATACGAATTTTTTATTTTTGGATCGATAAGAATAAATCTAATTAAATAACGAGAATTTCTATATTCGGTCAAAGATCTTAGTACTTAAATATTTCTGTGTAAATTTATATATATAGCTGAGCCTGCGAATTGCGCGCCAAAATTTTTTTTTATCTTAAAACGCAATCGTAAGCAGGATTAGAGTAATAATATTACTTATTATTCTTTATTACTTATTAGTTATTACCGGACTTATTACACATCAAAAATTATTAAATTGATGAGCAATTTAATAATTTTTGATGTTTAATAAACCTGGAAAATCGGAAGTTCTGAATTCAAACTCTAGCTGAGGTATTTTCCACATAAAATTATTTGCAGATTTAAGATTCTCATTAACATTTTAATTATTAATATTCTCATAAAGATGCTTATTAGCAATAAAAGTTATTAAATTGCTTGTCAGTTTAATAAGTAATATTACTATTCTGGTTCTCATGATAGCGTTTCAAGTCTGGAAAAGATTTCAACGCGCAATTTGCAATCAAATATGTATATAAAATTCACATAGAAATATTTAAATACTACGATCCACTTTGGCCGAAATATAGAAATTTTTTTATTTAATTAGAGTTATAAAATAGTTTATTCAACTATGTATATATTAATCCTCGACTACAGTAACGGATTATTTCAAAACGGAAACTTTTTAATCTGTACGATTGGTATTATAAATTATTATATTAGTTCTAAATTATAGATAAAAAAACTCTAAACTTTTCTCTATCAATCGCCATAAAGCGCAGATTCACTTTTGTACTTTAAACAAATCGCTTTAGAACTTAGATACAAGTTTCATAGCTGTAGTTGACGGTCAATTTTACATGTAAAACTTATATACTATCTTTTTTCTAAATTTATGAAAAAAAAAACTTACTTCTCCACGTATCTAATTCGTGCTCTTCTAATTCGTCCATTGTCACCGATGGACTGGTATAATACATCTGTAGTATTTTTATGAAATCCGTTATGGTCAACATGCCGACGAACTGCTGCCGGGAACTGTCCCACAACGGCGCGGCCCTCACCCCTGAAAATATCTCATTATCATCAAGCACCGTTCTTCTCGCACAGCGAGCCACAAATCTCTTTGTAATCGTAGGCGAAAAAGCAAACTTACCATTGTAGACGAGAGCGAAGAAGGCCTTTTTAACGAGTAGATGAGTGTCAAAGACGACCAGCTTGGCACTGGTCGGTATTAGGTCGTAGCATTTGTGGAACTTGAAAAACTTGACGAAGATCTGCGACTCGTCCTCCTCTGAAAGCCCAAACAGTTCGCAGTAGAGAAGAGCCTTCTGATTTCGACGAAGCATTTTCGCGCGAAGATCTATCTCGACGGTGCGATTGTTAAAACTTATACGCGGTAAACTTGTATCGGACACACGTAACTTCTTATCCCAGCACTTGCGCGTATGCAAATTTTTAATTAATAACCCATAAATTGTCAGTCATTAATAAATTAAGAGTTTCACACTGTGATTCTGAAATGTGAGCACATTTGAGAGAGCGGCGTCACGCGGTTTTTTTCACCACGATTTTTATGACATCGGGGAAACACTTGGAAAGCTTCCGGTTATTTTTTTCAATATCATTTTTTCAACAATATCACTTTTGAGGGTAATTTCTATTTGGAGCAAATGCCAATGTTAAAATTCGGTTAATGTATGCATTTTCCTTTGATAATATAACACCGATCTCAATGACCCAATTTGAAGTTCGAACAGGTTAACAATATTACACAACGCAGTAATGGAACTTGATTGAATGATCGATAAATTGCGATTAACCGTCTCGGGAGCTCGATTATATGTCCGAAGAGAGACTATGTCCGTGATATATCATCGATAATAGGTTCAATACTTAAAAATACACGTGATAAAGGGCCGCGGTAATTGTAAGCCGATAAGAGCCATATTGTTGCTCGCTAGAAGCGAGCGATGAGTAATACCACAAGGAAAATGTTAGAAAATTGCATCAGAAGAACAACGAAGTATAACGATGTATCACCTCCTTATTAGCTACGTGACGTTAATAAGAAAAAAAGAGGAGTTCCAACTTCTCAGAATCGAATCGAGCGCAAAATGGAGATAAAATAAACGCATTTAAATCTATGCGCTCAACACACACACACACACACACACACACATAGATTTAGATTAAAATC